ACATCTGTAACAAGTTTCATGAAAAAATATTCAACATTAACGAATCTACATCGTCTCATTTCTAGCGGCCCCCTTTATATCTCAGCTATTAATCGTGATATCTTCACCAAATTGGAACCGGTTATGAATGTCCATCAATAGGATCAATTATTCAGAGACATATATATTTTTGGGCAGTGTCGTGCGTTTTTATTGAAATGAAAAGGGGTCAATTCTTTATGAAATCATATTAGGATTTTTTTACAGGAAAACTGACATAATCATAATAATAATATATATTTCGGAGGATGTTTTCACATTTTACAAAAAAGACAAAATAAAAAACATTAAACGAAACATCGTCAACATATTTTGTACATGAAAAATAGATTACACATCAATAAATCATGAATTTCTAAATTTGTTGAGACTTTCGCAGGTTTTGAATATTGTTCTTCATGGTTTCAAACCCCCATATGTGAATTTTCATATTTTCATGAAGGGTTTTAAAAAACGGGCTCCTCTGAATAGAAAATTTGCGAACGTAATAATAGTTCAACATGAAATAGTATCTCTTGTTTTTTCTTTTAAACCACGATTCTCTACCTATCGGAGCTATTGAACGTTCCAAAATTGCATTCAATTTGAATTATTTATTTTTCAGAGGCTACAATTAAAAAGAATAAGCCAATCATGTTAGTTTGGAATTAAGTTATTTTTTGCATATAGAGGTTCGAAAGCATGAGTAACAATACTATGAAGTTTCAATGCGAAAAATTCCTCATATGATTTCATAGAAATCGAGCCCTTATTATTTCAACAAAAAATTCCGTCACTGTCCTACTGGATCTTCGTCTGTGTATATATAAATATATAGTGTGATTCAGAAAGAGGATTTGAGTGTAGGCGATTGACATTCTGCTACCTCGAGCCCGAATATACCGACTCATCATCATCAATTTTCAAACGACACATTACAACTCGAGTTATTCAATATACATGTATAACGATATTATATAGGATGATTAGAGAAAAAATAAAATATTGACTTGGAGAAGAAAGAACAATCTAGCATGAAAATAACCGTAATTTCATGGATTACACGTGTCAATATATCAGACATATGACTTCCGAACTGTTCGCTTATCCGAACAATTTGATGTGACTCATTCTCATTGTTTTAGATGATTCTACTCATTTGATTACTTCTTGCTCAGGATGGCCTTCAAATTATATCCGAATGTACGTTATTGAGTGGCACACTTACTCAATATAAAGTGATTTTGATATATGTAGGGAAAGTTTAGTGTTTCACCTACTCATGACAGTTCTAGAGTAAAACCGGAATTTTTGTAAAATGCTTGATTTAAATGTAGACTGCTTTGAAAAACATCATATTCACAGAAGCACAATCATTTATAACTGCACTCAAAAGACACCCAACACTGTTGTCTTCGAGATTTTTTACGAAATGAAATTCAAATATGCCATCGAATACTTCTTCATTTCGAATATATTTTATATTCACATTATGCGTCCATTCCTCAATAATCAATCATAAAGTCTTGCGTCTACGTAAATCACAATATTTTATCACAGATTTTCTCGTCCTCCATCAACCAACAACAAAGCGGTTTCTAAGGCAACGTATGGAATTAGTAAGAAGGTGTACACATAAACATATCATTTTTATGAGCTGACAGACTCTGATGAGTTGAGGTGCATAAAAAATCATCAAAATCCATATACAAATACATTCACTCCATAGGTAATTATAACATCTAGATGTTTCTTCTAAAACTTCCATGCTCCATCCCATGAAATTCATAAGCAATAATTGGTGATGTCTTGTCACTAACGTGTTTAAGAATCGAACTCTTCATAACATATATCAGTCTAATAATATTCAATTCTTAATCAATTTCAATCACAGAGAGATCGAATGAACAATGTTTCAAAAAACAACAAAGTGCTACACGATATTTTATATGTAAGGTGATATTTGGAATTGAAGTGGTGTTACAAAGAAGAGTAGTCTTCAATAATCAACTTGAATGCAAGCCGCCGTCTTTATAAAACCTATAGGTACGAGCTAATTTATTTCATCTCCTTCTATGGAACTTCGAATTACTCCTACTCGTAGTATATTTAGATTTGAGAGAATTTCATTGTTGAAATATGGTCCTAAGATCAAGATTTGTCTCGATCTATTCACCAATTCATTTAGGTCCAACAGATCATTATCAATTATCAGGACATTGAAACGAACACCACTTCTTCTTCAAGCGAATACGGAGTACTTTGTCTTTGTAGAGGAAAACCCTAGCTCAACTTTGGTTTGGTCGCCTTCAATCATTCTGATCCTTCCAAAATTTGTCCATCCCCCGTTTCTTTTCATGTCTTGCATAAATGCTATGGATTTTATATTTCACGATTTCAGCTAATTACATAATTTTTCGATCTCTATCAACGTTTTCATTTTCACGATTAATATCTGCTACATGCGATATCGCACTGATTCGGATCGTCTTGTATATTAATCAATTGTCGATGTACCTCATCTTTGTGCTTCTTAAGGATATGTTTCTTCATGCTGTCTAAGTTTGTGAATTGTTTCAAATGAGGAAAAATTAGTAAAAATGAGGCACAACTCTTTGGCTTCCAATTCAATCAGTAGAAAATACGCAGTTATTTCATAAAAAAAATATTCATTGGACGAGAACGTTGCTCGCGCCTTGTGTGGTTGTTGTTATCATAAATAATAGTCCATCTATGATCGAGATATTTCGTTATAATTTTATTTCGTGGATTGCAATAAAATATGAAGTCGAGCGCAGAACCTGAGCGTTTGGTATGGTTAGAATTACTGGAAGTATAATGGCGCCGAAATGGGCGCTTGCTTTTCCGGTGTCCCTAGATGCACCGGGAGTATTATTGGATATTATACATCATCTGTCAAACGTCGCTGGTCACGTGGTTCCAACTAGCACCGGTCACGTGTCACACGTCATTAAGTATCATGCCCCTGATTGGTTAGCTGAGGTAGAAAAAAAGTGAGGTGGTTTATCCTTCGATTCGCCCTGTTTTTTCAATTTTTGAAACAAAATGCGCTTGCTTTCGGCGAGGTCTGAAGCACCGGTATCATTAACCGCATTTGTCGTCTGTCAAATGTCATACGTTGGCTGTCAATGATTTTCTGATTGGTCCGCTGATCTAGACAAAAAGTGAGGGGATCTACCTACTAGTCGCCCTTTAAATGTTTTTCAATTCCTACTCTCAAACGCCCTATATACAGTGTGCCCAAGATAGGGATGAACATTATGTGGATCTGACTAACCGTTTCTTAGAAACGAACCGTTGTACGGAGATTTTGTGAACGCCATTTTGTAGAGAAAAAGTGACAATGATCTATGGTGTTTCCGAAACGTTTCAAATAATTTCAGAAAAAATCGGAACCAAATCGCCAAATTCGTTTTTGTTTTTTCGAATATCCTCGAAAGTAAACAACTTTGTTGGGATTTTTCGACCTATTCATTGATCCCTTAATTGCACAACTTTTTGCCCATTCGACCTACTGTGTTACTATCACAGTTACCGAGATCCCCATGCTGTTCATTCTTATCTTGGGCACACTGTATATTTTTTTTTTCTTATTGTTGATGTGTAATCACCGTTATCATCTTGCGGTTAGCCCGCTCGTAGGAGACAGATGACCCTGAAGTGGTCAAGTATCTGCAGAATCTATCTTAGATTTTCTTATGGAGATTTACATGGAAAAGCCCGTTTTTTCTCTAGAAAGGCGGAACCCAGTTTGCCTGCTGATACAATGACTGGTACCGCCGTTTCCATCAAGTCCACTATGTCCATGCTCGGTATATTCTTTTATGAAATAATCATGTCAGATCCATTGCGAAGGCTGCTTCACAAAAATTCGAATTTTTGTTTCGTGCGAAAGGTTACTTTTATGATCCACGAAGTACAGATAAAGCCTGTTCTAGAATATTGTTCCCACATATGGAGTACGGCACCCAAACATACACCTTTTCCTTCTCCTTTTCCTTGCCTGCTTTCAAATGGGTCACACATTAGATTTCTCTTTGTCTTGCAATTCACAAGAAATTTTATTTCGAAAATTGAACAAATCGAAAAAAAAAAAAAATATCGAATGCGTAAATTCAAGACGATTGATATCCGCGTGATTGTGACAATAGTGATGTTAGAATTTCCACAGTACCGAAAAAAGCAATATTGCATCAATTTATATTTTGATCTCTTCATTTCATTATGTTTTTCTTGATATTGTCATTCAATGATACAGCTTTATTTTTTTGATGGTATGCATTTTATAGTGAGGACCAAAAGTCCGTTCCCCCCATCATAATTTCTTTATTCCACAGATTCCAAAAAAAATTTAAATCTTTCAAATGGTTAGGAAAGGAAAGTAAAATACATTGTGTATCATTTGTTAAGGTTTTCTTACTGATCTGATAGAAAGAAGTCGAAATAATAATTTACAAGTGTTCATGATTCCAAAACTATCATCTTTCGTGATATGAAACCTCGTATAAAATAATCAAAGTTGTTCAAAATCTAAAATAGAATCAAATAGTGCAATGATTTACTTCCCATTCAAAAATTATATGAGACCCTTTGAATAAATGAAACCTAATCCATTGAAGAATTTATTAAAATCCTAAAACTTATGCATTTGATATTGTTTGTACTATCTAAAATAGATAAGTTACGAGGGGGCGTCAGACTTTTTGTCCTCACTGTATGTATTTATTACAGAGTGTACTTCAGAATGGAATATTGAAATTAGCCGAATGTCGAAGACTGATGTATAGTATAGGTCGAGTGTTGAGTACGTTACCAGTAGAAAGAATCATGGGATATTTAAATATGATATTAGCACCGACGTTCGATGATTTGCAAAAAATTGTTAGCGCTGAAACAGTAAGTTCTGTTTTCATTAATTTTTATCTTCTAATTTTAATATAACTGCAACTTGTTTATTGTAGTCATCTAGTACGACAAGTTCACTGGAGACGAAACTGAAAATTTTAGCTGCTCTATTTAGTTCTCTGCATGTAGAAGACCAAGAGAAAGTCGATCAACCCATTCTCGTTGTTATGCAGAATGTTATGCCCCTGTTCAGAAGTATTGGAGAAAAATATTGCCGAAATCAAGAAGTTATAGAAGTAAGAAACATTTTATATATTGAAATGAATCCAGAATCCAGGTTTCTGTGGATTTCTTCCATATTAGAATATTGAATGCTTTAAATCAATGAATGCACTTCTTTCATAACCATCAATAAGAATCCATGACATTTTCACTGCATTTTTTCGAATTAGCTTTCAAGTGTTGCTCCGCTCGTCCGTTAAACATACAATCTTGCCTAAGCCGAAACTATATTTCTACTTCTTATGAAACGCCAACGATTCGTGACTTATTTGCCATATACTTATGACAAATAGATAAAATCAAGGTGAGTTAATATTGAATAGGTTGACCCATCATGGTCGGTAGTAAATACTTTATTTCAATAATTAATTGAACAGATAATAACATATTTCAACAGTGACGTATTTATTTTGTGCTATCTACAACACCTCTCATTTCGACTTGAACTTCTTGATACAAAATTATTATCATTTTATCAAAACAAGTTGAACTTTACTAAAATCAAGAGCATTGATATGGGGGGGGATAATGGGGTATTTACTTCCCCCCCGCCCAAGAATAATAATTTGTAGGATAGGTAATAGATATAGGTATTCATGGCTGTTTTGATTTATTTGTTTGTCCTAAGAAGTTTTGTTTTTAATTTCTACATAGGCATATAGTGTTATTCATAAAGTCTTTATCATATACCGGGTGCTGGTAATCATTTGAAAAGTTCTTGCCTGCGATATCTCGTTTAATAGACGAATATCGAAAAATGGCCGAAACAGGTTATAAATAAATGTGAGGGGGGCATGTTCTCACATAAAAATCACCTTGCTCGTTTCATCCTCTTTTGCCTCCATTGCCACCTCATCAAAAATTCCTAATGGCAGTGTAGGTTGTGGGGCACCTCATTGGAAAGACTTTTCAATTTCCTTAACGCCTGTGTTTACATTTTTGAAATCAAACGATGAACTTGCGAGATATCGAAGGAAACGTTTGAAAATATCTTCCTTAAAAATCAGAAAATCGCCGAGACACGTGAACAGTGACTGTTAGGTGGATAATATATTTATCAACTCACTGAATCGAAAGTAGGCGTTTGCTCCCTCATTTTAGGAAATAAAGATCAATTTACTCCAACGGGTTTAAAAAATTTCAACTTTCGTGGGAGGTAAAATGAATTGGCTTCAGCATGTATCCTTTGGCGTCGATATATCTATAAAATCTGTCCAATAAGTTATCAGTGTGTTTATCACTATCATAAAACAAATAACAATAATATCCTTTCTGAATTGCAATGATATCATACGCTTCTTCATATTCCGAACGTACTTATAATCAAAACTTTCAAATGCACACAATAATATACAAATCAATCAATTCATGATGACAGTGTCAAATTGACTTCGTTCAAATGCCGTCAATTGTCCATGGCATACTATATCTTTGTGATGCATAGTAATTTGCATCGAGAGATAGACCGGCTGAAGTACAATTTCAAGAATGATGCTTTAAAAAATTGCTTACGTTGATAAAATCATATATATATCATGGGCTTATCATTCGGGCATCAAACTTCACATGCGGGAGAGAATGGACACCTTTCCCTCCTTGATATATAAATAGCTGTTAATTATTTAGCTCGTTGCACCAACCTTGCACCCAATGCCCACCCCAACTTTTTTGGGGCCGTAGGGCCGTCGGTCGTGGTGGGTCATTGGAAACGTACCATACGATCGAATCTGAACTGTTGCATTTTTTTGTTGGGAAAAGATTGATACCAACAGATGTAGAGATACCAACCATTATTTTCATCTCATGAAAAATCTGATGGTATACGATCTCCCTGCTCGGTATTAGAAAGAAGTTCTCCACATTTTTCATGTTCACCAATTGAATGTCGATGATTGACGTTGATTCCACGAATGCATGCTTATGTTGAGTAGGAGGAGGTTGCAGAATATCCAGAACTGATAAAATATCTTCTTGAGTTGAAGAAGCAATAACATGGTCGTACTTGGTTTTGTCAAATTCAATTTTTTCGGTAGTTATAATAGGATTCAGCTTGAATAAACCATGCTTCTGGACAAGCTATTCAGAAACGTTAATACTTGCCTTTTCAGCGAAAGATTTCTCCTGGTTTCCCTCAACTTCTCCTGACCATTTCACTCAGTTATCAAATGAATCAATCAGGAGCTCAAGTCAAGTCCGTATTATCTATAATGATTTAATGATTCGATTTCTCTGACATTTCAGTTGAAATATTTACCAGTCTGATATCTTGAAGTTCACAGGAGATAACTTCCAGTGTTCCTCAAAATTTCACTCTGTAAGTTTTCATTAAACAATCTAACTTGTCCAAACTAATTTTTAAATTAATGCAGTCGATTACCCCTTCAACTACGCAATATTGCTCAATATCATTCAAGGCTGTTTCTAATGTTATATAGTGAAGTTGAATTGACTTAATCGGACTCTCCACTTAGCTATTTTGCCAATGTTGTCACTGTAAATTCGACAACGACTCGAATCACCCTTGCTGATGGCATCTGTGTTTTTCTCAATTTTCGACACTTCGAATGTGAATATTCATATGTTTTCTTATTATCATGTAAGAATGATTCCAATCGGTGCACCAGAACTCGAAATATGTCTTTTCATCGAAACTAAACATTTTATCATTTGCGAATTAAGACAGATTTTTTCATAGATCATCGATATTCGTTTCAATTGCTTATCTGTGAATCATCGTACACAATATAAATGTAATAAGTGATGCCAGAAATTACTTACTTCAGAATTTTCGTGGGTTGAATGTACATTCCTGATTATTTCATCCTATAAGATGGAGAAAAATGCTTCGATTTGATGAAAAACTAATATGAGATTCGGTGCACCGATTGACATTCTGTTCATAGGGTACTTGAAAAACATGAAATTATAAAGTGCTCAAAGAAATAAGTGGATCACTCAAATTTTCGACATTTTTTAAAATGATAACTTTTTTGCAAATTAACTTATTTCCAATCGGAATACAGTGTTCGAAAGTTAAGAATTAGTTGATGAACTTTCTGAAGTTTTTCAGTTATGACATACCAAGTGATCAAAAAGAATGTTAAATAAGCGAAAAAGCTTAGGAGCTTCCGTATTCCTCAGGAAATTTTTCATCCTTCTGCAAATCAACTGTCTCAAATCTTCAAGTGAATATCTCCAAATGGTTTTTGGAATTTCTGACCATCCTTATACAGGATGTGAAATATTGATATTTTTTATATTCTTTATTTTTATGCATTCCTATGGATTTGAAATAGTTCAGGCGATATTCAAACCGTACTGCACTGTAATACGATCGAATTAATTCCTGGTGAAGTTATCCACCTGGCTTTATGACCGGCAGAACTTTCAACAACAACAACAACAAAATCTTAAGATCAAACGAACTTACCAAGTGATGTTCGATCTGGATTATATGAAGGCCTCGTTGAATGTGTGGTACTCTCACTTGCCATCGCATCCATCACACATTTTTAGAGCCAATCTGACAACCCTGCACGCTCTTATGTATCGTTTGCATACACCACTTATTACTCAGTCTACTTCAAAGTTATTTGTGTCAACTCAAATACTGGGTTCCAGAAATAGGGATGGGTTGGGACTTATTCACTTCGACGATGCATCATATAATCCAGATGGAACATCACTTTGTAAGTCCGTTTGAACTTGAGATTATATTCGGCCTCGTCTCGTGAATAAGAAGTGAAGATGTTCAAAGTATGTAGCAACAAAGGCATGACGATCTAATTCTAATTTAATGATAAACATTGGAATACAACTGTATATCAATGTATATAACGAAACTAAACTTAAGAACTTAAAACTATATTGGCAGCATTTCTTTCCGACCCCAAGTGTCTATTATAAATCATGACGAATGTCATGGATTTTTTGTAACAACCTGCTGCTAACCTTATAGTGTGAAAACGCATTTTCTGGCTGCCGCCGATGTGGCAGCGTGGCGAGTGCTTTGCGGCTTGAAAATATTTGTATCTAAGCCACTTTCGACAAAAACTTGCTTTATCCATTTACCAATGGTTTGAGTTGAAGCATCATGGTATGGTTTTCTGATAGTAAGCAACAAATGTCTACTGATTTCATCCTTCAAGTCTTCTGTTTTTTCCAAGTATGTTACTGGCGCTCTTGCCACACATACATCCGGGTCGGAGTTGAAAAATGGTAATTTTAGGACCGTTTGAGGTTTATTACGACCTGATGTATTGATTCGTTTAGATATCCTTAATTCAATCTTTCCCTTCTTCATCAGAATGTTAGGTTTTTCTATAAGAGATAGTATTTGGATACGTTGTCCTGTAGCTAACGCGAACAAAATCACCAACTTTTGTGTAAGATTTTCGAGAGATATGCTAGAATCATCTAAATTGCGTACATAATTGAGAACAATTGCTGGATCCCAAGTATTCTCATGTCTTGGAAGCGCTGGTCTTTTTCCAAAAACGCATTTGATAATTTGTTTCATAAGAACATTTTGTTATACGTTAAGACCAGCTATTTGAGCAATCGCCGATCTGTAGAAATTCTTGCGTTAAAAATCTCAAGACATTCACTACTGAAATTTGAAATCGGTCTAATTTTTTAGTCAAGCAGAACTCCCACCACATTCCCAACCCACAATTGTATTAAGCCAAAGTCGAATCTGTTATGGAAACTAAACATATCTCCAGGGCATCTTGTGGCACCTTTTTCAAATGCAGTGCTTCCAGGATGCTGCCAGGGAAAATTTGTCCCCCAATGGGTGAGGAGTTATTCCGATAGAAAGTGAATTTATGTTAGGTTCAAAAACATAGGTTCTGATTCTGATAGTGACACAAAGACTGGGATACCACGGTTGAGATTTCCATAAGGGTACCCCAAAAATGCCTTCCGCTTTGTTGTCGATAATCTTTCGTAGGACTCTTAGAATCATTGTAAAAGGAGAAAACGCATAAATATAAAAATTATTCGATTTTTAGGTGAAAGCGTCTACCGCCTTGGCCTCCGGATCTCTCAACCAGACTACAATTTGCTCGCATTTTTTATTTATACGACTATCGAAGAGATCGATCTCAGGCATGCAAAATTCAGAAAATGTTTTTGCATATGTAGAGGCTCCACTCGATTTCGATCTGTAACTGACGAGAGGCTTTATCTTTGGATCGTATATATGAGATGAGTAAATATTTTTAAATTTCTTTTTCCACCACTGACTAATTGTTCGAGCAAGATTTTTTCATATTTAGGGAATTTCACACTTCCCATACGATTGATATAGGCCAAGGCCGTTGTATTGTCTACTAGACATGAAATACTGCAATTTGAAAGATTATCTGCAAATATTTTTATCCGAAGAATACTGCGAGCAATTCTTGAAAATTTATATCTTCTCTCTAACTCCGACCAGAGACCGAGAGTAGCTTTTTTCCACAATAAATGTCCCAACCTGTGGTAGTCATCCGAGACATTTTTTGTAGTACACGAGTCAGAACGGATCGATTCGAAGGTATTTAGCACATTATCCGACCACCATTTGAAATCTGAAGTTTTTTGAGATTTCTATCAATGCATTGAAAGCGTTTCTTCTTGGTAAGCTTGTTAGTCATTTCTTCTCAGTTATAGACGAACCAATCGGTACCATGATATGCATCTTCTAGATATAAATTGGCCATATAACAGTTAGATCTGATCAACCTAGCAACAGTTTTATTATTTTCCATTTTGAAGTGATCGATTTTAAAATATTCGTTGAGGCACTTCAAGTTCAGGACTAAACGATAAGAACCATCTAGTTTCGCTATCAGAAAAATGTGCGATAGAAATTGAACCTCACATGGATCAACTTTGCTAATGGCACCCGGCTACAGTAACCCTATTACTGAATTTTGAATTTTCTTCAATTTCGGAAGTGACCATTTTCAGTGAATGGTATACTGTAACCTGCCAACCTAGATAAGATACGTTTTTGGAGGAAATCGATTTTTATTATTCATATTAAAAATATTTGCGACCGCATTTCGCTGGGCAACCTGGTGAAAATATATTCTATTAATGAATATGTGTAGAAATTTGATTTTCAGAAAATCACACATTATTTGGAAAACGCTCATTTTCGCTGTTGCTGTTGAGAGTTCTGCTGCTCTTAAAGCCAGGTGGATAACTTCACCAGGAATGAATTCGATTGTATTTCAGTGCAGTATGGTTTGAATGTCGTCTGAACTTCTTCAAATCCATAGAAATGCATGAAAATACAGAATATCGAAAGATATCGATATCTTACATCCTGTATAAGGAAGGTCAGGAGTTTCAAAACCATTTCGAGATAGTGACTTGGAAATTTGAGAAAGTTGATTTGCAGAAGGATGAAAAAAATCCTGGGGTGTACGGGAGCCCTTGAGCTTTTTCGATTATGTAACACTCTTTTCGACAACTTGGTATGGGGAAACTCTAAAAAGTTTCGAACGTTGAATTTCAAACAGAAAGAACGCATCATTTGAATACTGCATTCTTATTGAAAATCGGTTAATATGCAAAAAAAGTTATCACATTTTGAAACACGTCGAAAATTCGATTGGTCACTTAATTCTTTAAGCACTTTATATCTGTACAGTCAGAAGATAGAACTAGAATCTGTTACCCTGTCAATTTTTCATCGGAAACAATCACTGAACACGAATAAATAAATACAAAGAGCTCGAAGTAATTTCCACACAATATTCATAAAAAACAACTACTTTCCTGGCTAATGCCACGCAGAACATTGGATTGCATCCTCGTGAATTCTATGCATCAACTCGTATAAACGAATACTGAAACAAGTGATTCTTTCCTGAATGCCTATTGATTTCGATCTAGCCAGGACACGCTAGACACCTACAGAACGGTTTCGAGCTCTTCGACTCTCATCAGTGCAGGGCAGTCTCCAGCCAGCAATCCTAAGACCGCCGACTAAGCGTAGTCTAGCCAAACAAAACAAAACAATGTTCATTTTATGAACATTGTGTGAAAATGAGATTATTGTATTTATTTAACATTTTATTCCACTTTGGTACCTATTTATTTGATATTTCATTCCACTTTGAGTGTTGTTGCTAGCCTCTGCCGTATGGGAATTTTTGGTTTTGGAGTGTTTCTTTTCTTCTCTACTCAGATGGCGTTGCTTCCGTATTGTCTATAGAAGACGTCTCTGACGGAATATAATGCTGACTTGATTTTGTTTGGCTAGGCTACGCTTAGTCGGCGGTCTTAGGATTGCTGGCTGGAGACTGCCCTGCACTAATGAGAGTCCGTTTGTTTTTTTACTATTAATTTGTCGATGGAATGGTCGCACTGATTTGATAGTTGTTGAGTTGCACCGTAAATGAAAAGATCTTTGACGATATGGGTGAATTGATTAGTTGGTTCATTGATGAAGTGGGTGGTTGAGTGGGTTAGTCGATCAATTGAGTAGTGAGTTGAGTCATTGGTGAGGAGAAACAGGTGCATTGATTAATTGGTTCATTTGTTACTTGGATGATGAAATAAATTGGTGTCATTTGTCACTGTCATTTTGTCAATGTCATTCTGTCATTGTCTGTTGCTACGCCCATTCCCTGACTTTTGTCATTCACTAACTGTCATTCTGAGGTGAAGGTCGTTTGAGTGAATTATACTCTATGACTCCACGACTTCCTCGAAAATGTTTTTTTGATAATCTGATTTCCACATGGCCTTATAGGTATGTTTTCCTCAGCAACTTAATGTTCCTCTATAATTCCAAATATTTTCACAGGTACTGTACTAATGTGTCTTAAGATGGCTGTTTGAGCCGAAACTAGTCACAATACATCTTGTGTAATATAATTTTTGTGGTCGACGACTAGTTTAATTTTTGTTTTTCTTTAAAAAATTTGAACCACTTTGATGAGGATGGATGGATTTCATTACTCAAATTGGGGTGTTGATTAGTGAGTTGATGATAAGTGGGGTCCTTGATGAATAGGAATAAGATTTCGTTGAGTTAGGCTATATCGTTTCCGCTATGACTTAAAGTGTCGGGAGACTTTCAAATATTGATACTTTTTTTATTCAATCACCTTGTCAAATCGTAACCTTATATTGTTGAAACTCGTTTTTCATCTTGTATTAGAGATCTCCATGAGAAATGGTTGATTTAATTCATTATTTTTCAGGAATTGAGTGTGGTGATTAAATATGGAGTGACAACTTTGAAAGATGATTGCAAACCTCTCATTAGTAATGTATTGCAATTACTAGTTACCATTTATAGAGAATGTCCTCAAGCCAATATTTTGATAGTGGCAAAAACAGTGAGTCATTTTACTACATAATATTCACAATACTATTTATTCATACTCATTCAGGTTTTGATAATGTTTGGCAGAGACGACGAATTCTTAACGTTGAAT